AATTCTTCTTTTAATAGCATCCTGATCTTTTGTGGTGTGTCCACTAACTTCTCCAATCTTTCTGAAGATAATATTGTTAATTTGTTACAAACTTTTTATTTTGAAATCATTGTAAATTTATAGAAAGTTGCAAAGATGGTACAGAAAGGTCCTATGTAACACTTTGCCCAGTTTCCCCCAATGGTTACATCCTTCATCACTAGAGTCCTGTATGGCAAACAGGAAACTGACATTGATACAGTGTGTGTAGTTCGCTGCCATTTTATACACGTGTAGATTCCTGTGCAATAATCCAGATATAGAACTATTCCATCACCACATAGGTCTACTGGTGTGTTGACATTTTACCAGTTACAGTGAAATATAAAAAACTTACCTGCCTTTAAGTCCCTTTACCCTCACAGTTTATAATAAAATTGTCTTAAATATTTCCTCTACATACATGGAGATCCACATCAAACAATGTTAGACTTTTTGCTCTAAACTTCAAATATAATTTAGAACACTCAAGAGCAGAAGGAAAGCCTGTTGTATTTATCCATATATTTGTTCTTTCCATTTTTTCTTTCTGATGTTCCAAGAGTCCTTTTATCATCTCCTTTCTGCTTAGAGAACTTCCTTTAGCCTTTCTTTTAGGGTAGGTCTACTGGCAACACATATTCTTAGTCTTCATTCATTGGGGAATGTCTTGATTTCCCCTTCATTTCTTCTTTTTTCTCTTTTTAAATTTGTATTGATATTTTAGGGGGGAAGAGAGAGAAGGTGGAGCATTGATTTTGTTGTCCTACCCACTCATGCATTCACTGGTTGCTTCTTGTATGTGCCCTGACCAGGGATTGAACCCACAACCTTTATATCAGGACAACGCTCCAACCAACTGAGCCACCCAGCCAGGGCCATTTCTTCTTTTAATAAAAGTTTTACTGAGCTCTGGCTCGTGTGGCTCAGTGGACTGAGCACTGGCCTGTGAACCAAAGGGTCGCTAGTTTGATTCCCAGTCAGGGCACATGCCTGTGCTGTGGGCCAGGTCCCTAGGAGGGGGCGTGTGAGAGGCAACCACACATTGATGTTTTTCTCCTTCAGTTCCTCCTTCCCTTCCCCTCTCTCTAAAAATAAATAAATTAATTAATTAAAAATGAAATAAAATGAGCTTTATTGAGATATAATTCACATGCCATACAATTTACCCAAAGTATGCAGTTCAATGTGTTTTTTTGTATATTTATAAATATGTGTAACCATTACTACAATCAGTTTTAGAGCATTTCCATCACCTCAAAAAGAAACCCTATACATACCCTTAGCAATCACTCCCCTTCCTTGTTTCCCCACTCCCTACCTCTCCCAACTCTATGAAACCACTACTTTTTGTCTCTATAGACTTCACTATTCTAGACATTTTGTATGAATTGATCTTTGTGTATGGATTCTTTCACTCAACATAATGTTTCAGTGTTCATTCATGTTGTAGTGTGTATCAGTATTTCATTCCCTTTTATGACTGTATAATATTCCATGGTACAGATATACCACCTTGTGTTTACCCATTTGTCAGCCAATGTACATTTGGATTGTTTCCACCTTTTGGATATTATAAGCAATACTGCTATAAACATTTGTGTACAAGTTTTTATGTGGACATATATTTTCATTTATCTTGAGTAGAATTGCTAGACCAAATGATAACTTGTATTTAATCATTTGAGGAACTACCAAACTGTTTTTGAAAGCAGGTCTACCATTTTACATCCCACCAGCAATGTGTGAAGGTTCTAATTTCCCTACATTTTCATCAACACATGTTATTATCTGTCTTTTTAACTCTAGTTATACTAGTAGATGTGAGGTGAAATCTCAATGTAGCTTTGATTTGTATTTTCCTGATAATCGATGATGTCAAGCATCTATTCATGTGTTTGTTAACTATTACCTCTTTATTTCCGAAGTGTAATTTTGCTAGACCCAGAATTCAGGGTTGACAGTTCTTTTCTTTCACACTTGAAAAATGTTGTGCCACTTCCTTCTCACCTCCATGGTTTTGATGAGCAATTCTCTCTTACTTTGTTTTTCCCCCTGTAGGTAAGGTGTCATTCTCTCTTGCTGATTTTAAGACTGTTTTCTGAATTTAGATTTCTGAAGTTTGATTATAGTGTGTCTCTGTGTAGTTTTTTGGTTTATTCTTCTGGGGTTTGCTCAGCTTCTGGACTCTCTAAGTTGATATCACTTGTCAAATTTGAGAAATTTTAAGCCATAATTTCTTCAAATACTTTTTCAACCCTAAACTTCTTCTCCTTTCCCTCTGAGACTCCAATGACATCAATGCCAGATCTTTTGTTATAGTCTCATAGGTCCCTGAGACTGCTCATTTTTTCCCCCAGTTTTCTTTCAGTTATTCAAATTGGATCATTTGTATTTTTCTATTGTCAAAATGTCTGATTATTTTCCTTTGTCCTCTTTATTCTGCTTTTGAGCTATTGAGCTTGTCCACTGAGTTTTAAATTTTTAGTTATTATATTTTTTCAGTTCTAAAATTTCCATTCAGTTCTTTTTTATATCTTCTATTTCTTTGCTAAGACATTCTATTTTTGCATTGTAATGGCTACTTTAAAAATCTTGTCAGATAATTCTAACATCTGTATCATCTTGGTATTGGTGTCTATTGTCTCTTCTCATTAAAGTTGGGATTTTCTTGCTTCTTCATATGATACCTGATTTTTAATTATGTCATGGATATCTTGGGAAGTATGAGACTCTGGATATTATTTAAATCTTGTGTTTAGCAGGCCTCTGCTGACTCCATTCTGCTAGAAAAGGAGAATCTCCTTCTTACTGCCAGATGGAGGCAGAAGTTCAGGCATCTCAGAGGGGAATGAACACCTTGTTGCTGCTGGGTTGGGATGGAAATCAAAGATCTTCACTTAGCCTAAACTGACACTATGGAGGAGGGGCCTCATTACCCCCAGGAAAGGATGAAATTCTAAGCTCCTTACTCAGCTTTTGCTGATGGGAATGGTGATAGGGGCCACACTTTTCCTGTGATGCTTGGCTGGAATAGGGCAATTATTATCAAAAACTTTCCTTCTTGTTGCATTGCCCCATTTCCTGGTCCTTTTGCTAGAGAGAGCAGGCTTTGGAGGGGCAGCTTTTGTCTATGCCAACTGGGTTTCTGGGTTTCCAGCCCTTCACAGCACCTAGTCCAGGATATATGGGACAAAAAGAAAACACAGGAAAACCACTATTGTGTCATTTGACAGGTTCTGAGGTCCCTAGCCAGTTTACCTTCTCTCCAACTGATAGAGTCTTCTTTTTTTCTTTTTTAAGATTTTTAATTAATTTATTTTTAGAGAGAGGGAAAGGGAAGGAGAAAGAGAGGGAGAGAAACATCAATGTGCAGTTGCCTCTTGCGCTGGCCCGTGACCTGGCCTACAACCCAGGCACGTGCCCTGATTGGGAATCAAACCACTGACACTTTGGTTCGCAGGCTGACACTCAATCCACTGAGCCACACCAGCCAGGGCTGACAGAGTCTTCTTATCTTTGTTTTACATATAATGTCCAGGGCTTTCAGTTGTACTTAGCAAATTGGAGCAAGGGAGAATCATGTCTATTCCACTTTTGTTCAATTGGCAATTTTTAACTTAATTTTTTTGAACAGTTAACACATTCTTTTGGTTTTCTTCCCCAACACCTCAGATCTCCTTAGTACAGAAAACTGGTCCTGATTAGTTTGTGGGTGGGGTATATCTTTAGAGATTATGCAAATAAATACAACAAAAAAATCTTTAACATTTTCCCACAAAGACAGTAGATACTGTTATATTAAACACTGATTTTTTTAAGTACTGGGTTTTTTTACCTTTTTATCATGAAATATTACATACATTTTAAATAATGCTGCTGTAAATATTTTTGAACATGCCTCCTGCCCCATATGTACACATCTTTAAATTGGGCATATTTCCATGAGTAGAATCACTGTGTCCTAGTGTATGCATGTCTTCAGCATTACCAGATGAAACCAAAATATTTTCCAATATGGTTGTACCAATTTACATGGCCATGGGTAATGCAAGAGTTCTCATTGCATCATATTATCTTCATTACTTTGCATTTTTAGCCCTTTTCATTGAAAACATTATAAGGGTTGTGAAGTGGTATCTCATTGTGGTTTGAATTTGCATTCTCTGGTTAACTGAGGTTAAGCCCTTGCTATGTGTCTATTGACACTTTGGATTTACTCTTTTGTAAAATGCCCATTCAAATCCTTTCCCCACTTTCTGCTAGGTGGTCTCTTTTCTTCCTATTGGTTTGTGAAAGTTATTTATATCCTCTAAATAAGAGATTTTGTCAATAATATTTGTTGAAGATATCTTCTATTCTGTGGCTTTCCTTTTTCCCCTCTTATAATGCTATCTTTTAAATGAATAGAAGTTTTAAACTTTATTATAGACAGACTTATCAATCTTTTTCTTTATGGTTAATGTTTTTAGTATCCCATTTGAGAATTATTTTCCTAAACCAACATCATGAAGATATTTGTCTATATTGTCTTTTAAAGTGCTTATTGTTTTGCGTTTCCCCCATACATTTCTTCCAAATGCCTTTTAGCACCCTTTGTGTCTCCCTGTGTTGGTGTTCAAGTCTTTAATTTTTTCTATATTTTATTCAACTCTATTGCCATTGCTTAGCACAGAATTGACCAGCAAATATATTGTATCTTGTTCTTACATTAACTAGAAGACATAAAGAGAACCCATATTAATCCCAATTTTTTTTAAAAAAATGAATGACTGAATGAATAAGTAAATGAATGTAGTATGCAATGAATATCAAGATACTTCAATAAGTTTTTTTCTCAGAAAATAAAAATGCAAAACTAGGTACTAGTGAAAACCCCATGATACATTACAGTAAAAATCATTAAAAAGAACTTCCTATTTATCTTCCTATTATAGCCCCCTGCTGACCACGTTGTTTTGAACAGGATTGTATTGTTACAGGTCTCAGTATCATTCGAGGATGTGACTGTGGACTTTAGCAGGGAGGAGTGGCAGCACTTGGACCCTGTTCAGAGGCGCCTATACCAGGATGTGACACTAGAGAACTATAACCACCTGCTCTCAGTTGGTAAGCACAGCCACCTATGTGTCTGTCAGGGGCCTCAGTGAGGCTATTTGCATTCTCAGCTGCTGAGTGTTCTGGGTCATTGCAAGTGTGTGATGATATTATTGTCCTTGATTTGTCTGACACTCTTCAGTCCTTTTTCACCTCTGTGATTATTACTTTATTCCCAGTGAAATGTAATTACTTTTCTGAAGAGCAAATGGAATTGTCATTGAAAGGTCCCTGAAGTCCATTTAGCTGGACTCAATCTTGTGTCATGTCCTGTTAACAGGGTACCAAGTTCCCAAACCGGAGGTCATCTTCAAGTTGGAGCAAGGAGAAGGACTGTGGACATTGGAGAGGGAAACCCCACATCAGAGCTGTTCAGGTGAGTGAGTGTGGTTCAGGCAGATGGGGGACATGGAAATAAATCTCAATTTTGTAGGAGACATTGGTACCTTCCAAAGGCTGTGAAGATAACTTGTCTTGGAAGCAGTAAACTTTTGTAGTTGTTTGGGGGATAGGTGACAGAAGACCCTAAATACCATCTGATACCTAAATGCCATCTCCAGCTATGACCCAGCTATTGCCATATCTCTTCTGTTGGCTTTTTGACAAGAAAGCTATCTCCAATCCTGTACACTGGATCACATACATACCACCCTATTTAATATAGCACCTTTTTATACTTCCTACTCCACCTCCATCCCCCTTATCTTAGATTCTTTCCTTGTACATTCAGATATATTTAAATTTCTTTCTTTTTATTCCAATTCCCCATATTCATTACTTATGCCTCCTCCCATGGGCACCTGGTCCAATGTATTTGATCTTTGAATTTGTGTGGTATTTCTCTTAAAGCCTGAAGTATTGGTTTATGAGTATGTACTTTTAGTATATATAAATTATTTTCTGCTATGTGTCTTAATTGTGTTCCTTTTTTTCACTTGTTATCTTTTGTCCTTTTGATGATAGCCATTCTAACAGATGTGAGGTGATACCATTATGGTTTCGATTTCCCTGATGATCAGTGGTATTGGGCACCTTTTCATGAACCTGTTGTTCATCTGTATATTTTCTTGGAAAACTTTCTATTTAGTTCCTCTGGCCTTTTTAAAATTGAATTGGATTAGAGGGTTGGTTTGTTTTGTTATTGCGTTATGTGAGTTCTTTATATTTTGGATATTAACCTTTCATCAGATGTACGATTTGCAAATATTTTCTCCTATTACCTAGGTTGCTCTTAATTTTGCTGATTGTTTCTTTGGATTTACATTTTTAACATTTTCTTTATGTTTAACACATTTATTGTCTTCACTGAATCTTACTCTATTCTGTGCTCTGTTTGTTGAGATGATACATTTTCACCCTGTGATCAGGTATCACTGTTCCATGAAATGGCTCTTAATTACTTCAGCATATATGGCTCTTTTCTTTTTCTCTTCCTCCATCTCATGGGAACTTAGAGAAAAAGCACAGGATTTTAGACTATGTGATAACTGAGGCTTTTAACTCTGTTTTTACAAAGTTCCCAGAATTAAGACCTTGTTTCTATTGTATAATTCAGGGTCTGATCAGAAGAGAGAAACCACATACTAATTTGAACCGGGAAGTTTAACAGAAAGAATTATTAGCTATAATGAGATTGAACTAACAAGGGGTGGCTAGTAAAAGTAAATAGAACTCTAAAGAATAAAGAAATAGCAGGAATAAGGAACAGCCAGTACCTCTACTATTGTGATGCAGCACCCAAGCAAATGCCTCCCCTGCTTCCAAGGGATGAGATCCAGACTTTGCTACAAGGGCACAGCTGTGGTTCACAGCATGACAGAAGAATTTCTGTGGTGCCATGCTGGCAGGAGTTGCTGGAAATCTTCCCTCTGGGGTTTCAGAAAGCGGATCATGGGGAAGTGTCTTGCTGAAGGTATTACACTACCAATCATCTGAGCAGCATGCCAAGGTAAACCGCTGGGTGCTGCTGGCTGCAATACACTGTAGGGGTTAGGTGCTGGAGAAGTTATCAATTACAGACAGGAACTGAGCTCTAGAGAAGCCACCCACACTGCAAGACCTGGGTGCCGGAGAAGTTGCATGTGCATCATGAGCCAGATACTAGCAAAGCTGCCCACACTGCTCTCTCTGAAAGAGTGTGCTAACTGAGCCTACTAGAATGAGGAAGCAAAACCACTCTCCCCTGTGATGTCTCTCCATTACCTTCCACTGACCAAGCTCATCATTGTACCAGCTGACAAGGGAAAAACATACATAAAGAGACTCAGGTCCATTTTTGTAGAGTGGACAAGGAAGCATGAATTTGGAATTGAGAGGCAATAAATTGATAACTGGCACACTTATTCTTCAGTTTCCCAGAGTGAAGCATGGAAATTATTTAGTAAATTTAAACTTAAATTTATTGAATTTGGGGAGATAGAGGAGGATATTTTACTCTTTTTCAGAAGGATTGTTCAAGTGTCTGCTAGGAGGCATTCAAAGAACCATAGAATATATTTGGAAAGGGAAGACAGCTGCATAATATGTTAATGATTTCAGTCTTTGTGTATTAATATTTTCTTTTATAACACAAAACTATACCAAATTGAGTATCAATGTGTGTGGTGCCATATTTCTTTATATGTTCATAGCAGATACAACCTCCCCAGAGATGTACTGAAATTAGAAGTAATATTGTGGGCAATCAATTTTGAATATGCACAGAGGAGTAAAACAACAAGCTTAACATAAATGTATATCCTCTCATATAGTAATTCTGAAGTGAATAGGTTCATTCAACAAGTCAACCTTAATCCTGACATATCACTCATAGACCATGTTCCAAATCATTGTTCTAGCATCTCCTAGGGCATTGTTGTCACTTGCATGGTTTATGTTGAGTCATTATTGCATTCAGTGGGGAGGGAAAGGAGGAATACAGAAAATTTGTCTACTGTCTTAAGGCCAGATATGGAAGTTTCACATATCAATCACTTTTGCTTATACTCCACTGGTGAGAACAAAGTAAAGATGGTCAATGTAATGCCCAGCTACATTCTGTTACTATAAAATAAGAGGTAAATTGATTTTGATGGATGGCTTGAAGTTTCTACAAAAGATGGCTTTCCTTCTATTATTTTACTCTTGTTAAAAGCATATATTTCTGGGACCAAAAAAAAACCTTGCAGCTGGCTATATAAGTGGAGCCACAGATACCTATTTACTGTTTGTCTATGTCAAGATGGCTGGTGTTGTAAGAGTTTTTCTTATAGATATAAAAGAATTGATGTTTGATGCACGTAAGTTTAATGTTGATGCTTATAATGGTTCAGAGAGAAAAGCAAGAAGCAGAGAGATTAGTAAGGTTTTAGAGTTGATGTGTAATAAGGACATATGAAGTCTGTCTGGAAAGAGTACAGCCATTGTTAATGTAATGAGAACGGATTGTGCAACACTGATGTAACCTGGCAGCCAAGGAGAGTGGACTGGAATGTACATGTGTGAATAATGATGACTTCACTGTACTAGTCAGTGGGGTGGGTAGACACCATTGAGAGAGCATGTGTATTCTGTGGCCATCACATTCAAAATGATGGAGTGAGCAGAGCAATGAATCTGCATCAGAGTTTGCTTTAAGCTTGAATATTCCTCTATGGAAACTATTAAAATGACTCAGAATGCCACAGCTATGGGCAACTGGTGATTGGCAGCTTCATCATAACAACACGCCTGCTCATGGATCACCGCTTGTGCAGAGTTTTTTTGTGAAACATGAAATCACCCAGGTGACTCAGGCCCACTACAGCCCAGATTTGGTGCTCTGTGACTTCTGGCTTTTCCTAAAACTAAAACCACCTTTTAAAGGGAACAGACTTCAGACCCTTGATGAGATTCAGGAAAACATCATGGGGCAGCTTATGGCAATTGGGAGAAATGTGTAAGGTCCCAAGGTGCCTACTTTGAAGGGGACTAAGACATCATTTTCCTATGTACAGTGTTTCTTGTATCTTGTATCTTGTTCTATAAATGTCCCTATTGTTCATAGAACATAGCTGGATACCTTCTGGACAGACCTTGTATAATCTGAAATATTTCTTGCATGCCAGGCTTCCCTTTAACAGGCTTTAGTTTCTTCTTCTGGTTACTTGTTTCATTATCCAGACCTTCTACTAGTGGATATGAGTTCCCAGGGTTCAAATCCCATCTCTCTCACTTATTTGGCTATTTGATTTTCAACAAGTTACATAACTTCTCTGTGTTTGTTTTCTCACCTGTGAAACATGATTGATAATGATAGCTACCTCTTAGAGTTTAGTGAGGATTGAATGAACTGTTATGTGTAAAGCACTTGGAACAGTGCCCACTGCATCACAAATGTTATATAATTGTTTTGTATATAGTGAGTGTTCTACAAGAATTTTATATTACTGCATTATCACTATTTTCATTATTGTCATATGGACTCTGTGTTCATCTTGTCTGAATTACATGTACCCTCTATCCTCTGCTAATTATTCTTTGAGTCATTTTCCTTTTTCTTTTTAGATGAAGATATTGGGCAAACCCAACAACAGAGAGTTTCTGGAGAAGTTTTATTCCACTGTGAGAAATTTGGTCAATCCATAGAAGATTCATTGTGTTCCATTTTAGAATTGTGGCAAGATAATGACCAGCTAGAGAGAGATCCAGAAAAGCAAAATAACCCTGTAAGTCATGTGAAAGTATTCATTGAAGAGAGTGGCTATGAATGTAAAAACTTTGAAAAACTAATTCATATGAGTACCAAGATTGTTCCTTCAATTAAAAGACTCCATAACTATGACACATTTGGAAAGGGTTTGAAGCATACTTTAAACTTACATAATCATAATAAAAGCAATGCAACAATGAGCCTTGATAAGATTTTTGGAAATGGCAACAATTTCACTCATAGCTCTTCCTGCACTAAGAATGACAATGCTAATACTAGAACAAATGCTTGTGAACATAATCAATGTAGGAAACATCTTGGCCACAAACAAGCTCTCATCCACCATCAGAAAATTCACATCAGGAGGAAGCTTTGTGTATGTACTGAGTATGTGAAGAGCTTTACCCAGAAGTCAGATCTCTTTGCACATCAGAGAATTAATGCTGGAGAAAAATCTCATGAATGTAACAAAAGTAATAAAGTCTTCAATCAGAATCCCCAAATTGATGTAGCTCAGAGTGTTTATACAAGAGAAAAGTCCTATATATGTACTCATTGTAAGAAGGCCTTTACTCTCAAGTCCAACCTCATTACACATCAGAAAATTCATACTGGGCAGAAACCCTATAAATGCAGTCAATGTGGAAAAGCCTTTTTCCACAGATCGTATCTCTTTAGACATATGAGAATTCATACAGGAGAAAAACCTTATGAATGCAGTGAATGTGGAAGGGGCTTCTCCCAAAATTCAGACCTCAGTATTCACCAGAAAACTCACACTGGAGAGAAACTCTATGCATGCAGTGAGTGTGGGAAAGCCTTCACGAGAAAATCAGCACTCAGGATGCATCAGAGAATTCACACAGGAGAGAAACCCTATGTATGCACTGAATGTGGGAAGGCCTTCATCCAGAAATCACATTTCAATACACATCAGAGAATTCATACTGGAGAGAAGCCTTATGAATGCAATGACTGTGGGAAGTCATTCACTAAGAAGTCACAACTCCATGTGCATCAAAGAATTCACACAGGAGAAAAGCCCTATATATGCACAGAATGTGGGAAGGTCTTTACTCATAGGACAAACCTCACTACTCATCAAAAAACTCATACTGGAGAGAAACCCCATATGTGTGCTGAATGTGGGAAGGCTTTCAGTGATCAGTCAAATCTCATTAAACACCAGAAAACTCATACTGGAGAGAAACCCTATAAATGCAATGGTTGTGGAAAAGCCTTCATATGGAAGTCACGCCTCAAAATACATCAGAAATCTCATATTGGAGAGAGACACTATGAATGCAATGAATGTGGGAAAGCCTTTATCCAGAAATCAACACTAAGTGTGCATCAGAGAATCCATACAGGAGAGAAACCCTATGTTTGTCCTGACTGTGGGAAGGCCTTCATCCAGAAATCACATTTCATTGCACATCATAGAATTCATACTGGAGAGAAGCCTTATGAATGCAGTGACTGTAGAAAATGCTTCACTAAGAAGTCACAACTCCGTGTGCATCAGAAAATTCACAGAGGAGAGAAACCCAATATATGTACTGAATGTGGGAAAGCCTTCACTGACAGGTCAAATCTCATAACACACCAGAAAATCCATACTAGAGAGAAACCCTATAAATGCAGTGACTGTGGAAAAACCTTCACCTGGAAATCACGCCTCACCATCCATCAGAAATCTCATACTGGAGAGAGACACTATGAATGCAGTAAATGTGGGAAAGCTTTCATCCAGAAAGCAACACTAAGTATGCATCAGTTAATTCACACAGGAAAGAAACCCGATGCTTGTACAGAATGTCAAAAGGCTTTCACTGACAGATCAAATCTCATTAAACACCAGAAAACTCATAGTGGAGAAAAAAATTATAAAAGCAGTGACTGAAAAAAAGCCTTCAGCTGGAAATTGTAACCAGGTATGCATCAGATGGCTCATAGTGGAGAAGAGAAGTGCCTGATGACACAATCATTGTGTATGGGGAAATAGATGCGACAGACTACAGGTGAAGTGGACAGAAAGCAAACAAAGCCAAGTATCCCCCAAAACCAAATAACTACATTACCACAGTTAATACACAATTTTATGTGTAGGGAAACTTCAATAAAACCTTTCGACAATAGTCCTGTTTGGTTTCATGACCCATGCAGGGGCTCTCAAGCTCCTGTAAATAGTAGAAATAGGGACCCCAGAAGATGATTTTTAATCTCTTATGTTTCACTTTTTGAATAAGGAACTTTATAAATTTAGCATTGATTAGTTCTTCATACCCTGGAATGTAAAAGTATTCAATATTGGACAAAATTTTTCAAATTTCTAGGGTGGGGCAAAAACGTTTTCATTGTCTAAATACCTGCAGGCACAGAAGTCAAAGCAAAAATCTACTTTGGAATGCAGACCTGTGAGTAGAAGCCAGGAGTTTTTGTGATCATTGACATTCAAGACACAGAAAAGACTGCATGAACTATTCTTTCTCTTCCCTTTGAGAAGTCACCATGGTATGTTTCTTAAAAATGAAACTGTAAAACTTAAAGTTAAGTCTGACTTTATGCATTGGCAAATTAGAAAAAGCTCTAGCTTATGTTACAAGAATACAGTTATTACATGTTGCACACATCTAAAGGTGGCAATTGTTCACTCATGAATTCCATGATGTGGCAACAGGTGATGATTCACACTAAAAAAAAAACATGCATACCTTCTAACCTGTACCCCAAAACCTATCATTTATGTAAATTGCACACCACAGACTTCTTATTTCTTTATTGACTGACCTTGACCCATGAGACTCTGGACTTCCAGTCTCATCCACTGAAGCCTTTGCTTTCTTTGGGATTTTTGTTTGAAAAAGAATGAGTGAGAAATTTGGTTTCAATACATAAAGTTTTTATTTTGTTTTTCTTCCCATTTGATTAAGATACATTCATTTTCTGTATGCATATTAAGGCTACTTTTGTGTGGATTGCTATGGGATAAAGTCATTTTGCATTGTAGTTGGCTAGTTCAAGATATGATTAAAACTCCGTGGCTGGCATAGCTCAGTGGATTGAGCGCAGGCTGTGAACCAAAGTGTCGCAAGTTCGATTCCCAGTCAGGGTACATGCCTGGGTTGCATGCCATGACCCCCAGCAACTGCACATTGATGTTTCTCTCTCTCTCTCTTTCTCCCTCCCTTCCCCCTCTAAAAATAAATAAAATCTTTAAAAAAGATATGATTAAAGCTTATTATAGTTGAATAACTAGAAGACTTTTCTAGAAAGAGCATTGCTTTTTTAAAAGCACTGATATATAGACACTTTCTCATTTTCTCTTAAATGTTTTTAAACAGTACTCATGAGAAAGGGAGTTTTATTTCTCAAATGCAATTTAATTTTATTAAAGTATAATGCATATGGAAAATACATATGTCATAAGCTTACAGCTGAATGAATTCTCACAAATTGAAAATACTCAGATCAAGAAACAGAACATGACCAACACTCTAGAAGCAATCCCTTTGCTCCCTTCTAGGCCTTACTACTGCTTCCACAAGGGTAATCACTGTCCTGACTTCTAGCAGCATAGATTGGTTTTCTCTGTTTTGTATTTTATATACATTAAGTCAAACAATTATATTTCATATTTCAGTGTTTATCTTCTTTCATTCACATTATGAATGTGAGATTCATCTATATTGTTTAATATAGTTGTAGTTAATTCATTGTCATGTTATATTCCACTGTGTGAATATGCTATAATATATTTATCTATCCTACTGTTGATGGACACTTGGATTGTTTGCAGCTTGGGGTTATTAGGAATAGTGCTGCTATAAATATTTTAGTACCTATCTAATGATGAATATATTTACAAATTTCTGTTAAGTATATATCTAGAAATTAAAATGCCAGGTCATAGGGTATCCATATAATCCACTTGAGTTTATAAAACTAGGTTTCCAAAGTGGCTGTACCAACAGCAAATTGTGAAGCAAATTCTAGTTGCTCCACATCTTATCAACACTTGGCATTTTCCACCTTTTTTACTTTAGCCATTATGGTGGCTAAACAGTGATATCACAGTGTTGTTTAATATTTATTTCATTGTCCTCCAATCCCACCATAGTATCTCTCCAAGACAGTTGACTGATATCTGAGTTCCGAGACCCAGCCATGGTCCTCACATGGCTGTACCATTTTACATTCCACCTTCAATAAAAGCAATTAATAAGTTTACTTCTTTTTAAAAAAATTATTGTATTTTTCCATTACCATCTGACCCTCACATACCCTCCTCAGTTTAATTCTTCTCACACACACAAAAGACCAAAACCAGTTGGTTTAATTGGTTAATTACATCAAACATTTGTGAGATAAATAATATCAACACTCCACAAAATCTTTCAGAAAACAGAGGAGAGGGGAATACTTCCAAATTCTATGAGGGCAGTGTTACCCTGATACTTAAGCCATACAAACATATCACAAGAAAAGAAAACTAAAGACCATTATTCCTAATGAACATAGATGTAAAAATCTTCAACAAAATACTAGCAAACTGAATCCAGAAATATGTAAACATATACATCATGACCAACAGGAGTTTACTCTAGTGATGCAAGGCTGCTTCAAAATTCAAAATCATGCAATATAATCTATCATATTTGCAGGCTAAAGAAGAAAAATCATATGATCTACAGGTTCAGTATAACTTTACCCAATTTCCAACAAGTCTTTCTTCCCTAGAAATTTATAAGCTAATTCTAAAATTTATACAGACATAGAAAGGACCAAGAATAGCAAAAAGAAGTTTGCCAAAGAAGAACAAACTGAGAGGAAACTCACCTCCTAATTTCAAAATTATTATAAAAGTATAGTCATCAAGACAGTATGGTACTGGCATGGGGACAAAGACATATTCTGTTAATGGAACAGAATAGAGTCCAGGAGCAAGCCTTCATACTTATGGTACAAATATTCTTTTTTAAAATTTTTCTTTCTTTATTTTTAGACAGAGGGGAAGGAGGGAGAAAGAGAGGGAGAGAGAAACATCAATGTGTGGTTGCCTTTCACCAGCCCCCTATGGGGGCCTGGCCCACAACCCAGGCATGTGCCCTGACTGGGAATTGACCCGGTGACCCTTTGGTTTGCAGGCCTGTGCTCAATCCACTGAAATGCACCAGCCAGAGCTGGTAAAAATATTCTTTACAAAAGTGTAAAGGTAATTCAATAGAGAAAAAAGTCTTTTTAACATTTACTGAAAGGATAATTGGATATTCACATACAAAAAGATGAATTTAAATCTTGTTTAACACCATACTAAAAATTAACTCAGAATGGATCAGAGATGTAAATATAAAAGCTAAAATTATGAAAGTTTTAGCAGAAAAGAGGAGAAAATCTCTGTGTCTTTGTATTAAGCAAGTAATTCTTAGAGAGTATACCATGAATAAAAGAATGATAAATTGGACTTCATCAGAACAAAAAAGGTCTGTACTTCAAAAGACACTATTAAGAAAGGGAAAAGACAAAACAAACTAGGAGAAAATATCTGTAAATCATGTATCTGATAAAGGACTTGTATCCAGAAAATATAAAGAATGCAATAATAAAAAGAAGAAAAACAACCCAGTTTAAAAATGGGCAAAAGGCCCTGACTGGTTTGATTCCATTGGACAATATCCCATAAGGTGATAGATCACCAGTTCAATTCCCAGTTGGGGCACATGCATGGGTTGTGGGCCAGGTCCCTGGTTGGGGCATGCACGAGAGGCAACTGATTGTTGTTTCTGTCACACATTGATGTTTCTCTTCTTCTCTTTTCTAAAAATAAATAAATAAATAAATAAATTTTAAATGGGCAAAAGATTTCAAGAGACATTTGCAACCTAAGTGCCCATCAGTAAACGAGTGGATCAAAAAACTGTGGTGCATTTACACAATGGAATACCACACAGCAGAAAGAAAGAAGGAGCTCCTACCCTTTGTGACAGCATGGATGGAACTGGAGAGCATTATGCTAAGTGAAACAAGCCAGGGGATGGAAGACAAATACCATATGATCTCACCTATAAGTGGAACCTAATCAACAAAATAAACAAGCACAGAAAATACAACCAGAGACATTGAAATAAGAACCTGAAAGTAACCAGAGGGGAGGGTGGAAGAGGGATAATATGGGACAATGGGGAGACCATCAAGGAACATGTATGAAAGACATATGGACAAAGCCAAAGCGGGTGGCTTTGAGGGTGGGAGGCAGGGATGGGTGGGATGGGGTGGCATGGTGGGGTGAAAATGGAGACAATTGTACTCGAACAATAAAAAAAATGATGCACAAATAAGTACATGAAATATGCCCCACATCATTAGTCATAAGAGAAATTTCAATGAAAACCACAATGAAATACCACTTTTTTGCTACAATATATACTAAAATGGCTATAATAAAAAAGACAATAATAACAAATGTTGGTAAAGATATGTAGAATCAGGAGCTTTTATACATTTCTGGTGTGAATGCATTAAAATGGTATAGCCACTTTGGAAAAGTCTAGCAGTTTCTAAAAAGTTGATTATAAATTTACCATAGGACCCAACAATGCCATTCCTATTATGTACCCAAAAGATATGTAACATGTGGTCACACAAGCACTTGCACTTGAATATTCATAAATGCATTATTCATGTGAGGCAAAACAGAGACAATCCCAATATCTATCAACTAGGGACTAGGTAAACAAAATGCAGTATATTTGGCAATAAAAAGGAATAAATACTAATTCAGGCATACCTAGTTTTATTGCATTTCACAGGTGTTGCTTTTTTTTTTACAAACTGAAGGCAAGATCATCCGAAAGATTATGACTCACTTTTTTGCAATACTCTATTACAGTAATCTAGAACTGAACCCACAGTACATCCAAGGTATGCCTGTAAATACTACAACATGGGTGAACCTCAAAAGTATACTAAATGAAATAAGCAAGACACAAAGATCTAATACTGTATTTGTACATTATTTATAGGAAATGTCCAGAAAAGTCAAATATATAGAGATCAATAGATTAGCAGTTGTCTGGAGGTGAAAATGAGAACAGTCATTAACTGTAAACTACTACAAGGAATAATATTATTGGGGTGATATAAATGTTATGGAATTTGATTGTGGTGATGGTTGCAACTGGGTAAGTATAATAAAGGCCATTCAAGTGATCCTTAAATCCATTCCTGTTTAAAGGAGTCTCTGCCATAACATCTGTTGCCACCTATAGCTAGAATAAAGTGTCTTGGAGCCTGTTATATACTTAAGAATAAACTTGTGGATGTCACTGTCAGGCACCCAGTGGTGCTCTGTCTGAGCCTTTGGCAGGCTTTCTGGAAACAAAAATGGCTATGGCCAGCAATTTCTACCTGCACTACTATTTAGGACAAAGGGTGAATTTGAACATGAGTTTCTAGAATTTGAGTTTTGGTCAAACAGCAGTTTAGACATGCCAGTAACAGCAATGACAAAAATGATTTCCTGATCAGAAAAGAGGCCCATGTACAGAAGACTGTGAAGAGAATTACTGATGACAGTGAAATTACAAAAGAAGATGATGCTTTGTGGCCTCCCCCTGACAGGGTTGGCCAACAGAAGCTTGAAATTTGAATTGGAGATTAACACATTTCTTTTACTACATAAAAAATAGGTGCTCTTATTGATGTAAATCAGAGGATTCTGAAGGCCTTTGAGCATTTTACTGTTTGGTGCAGGATATGAAATGTTTAGTTTTTAGTTTTACTGGATTACATTTCAAGATTAAACCAATCTAAGTTATATGTTCTTTGAAGATTTTATTTATTTATTTATTTTTAGAGAGAGGGGAAGGGGGCGGGAAACAGAGGGAGAGAAACATCAATATGTGAGAGATATATCAACCAGTTGCCTCTCACATACCCCTAACTGGGGACTTGGCCTGCAACCCAGACATGTGCCCTGACTGGGAATCGAACCAGCAGTCCTTTGGTTTGCAGGCCAGCACTCAATCCACTGAGCCACACCAGCCAGGGCTAAGTTATATGTTATTTGAACTTGTTGTTATATTTAATTAAAATTTGGGTAAGGGAGGGTTTGTCATTTATAATATTGACATTTTTGTGAATGTGAAACAAATACAACTTTTTGTATGTAAATTGAAAATAAGAAAATATATAAACAACCCTGGCTGATGTGGTTCAGTTGGTTTCAGCATTGTTCTATACACCAAAAGATTTGTGGTTCCATTCCCCATTCTGGGTCAGGACACATCCTAGGTTACATGCAAGAGGCAATCAATTGACGTTTTTTCTCTCATATCGATGTTACTCTCTGTCTCTCTCTCCCTCCCTCTCTCATCAATGGCAACATGTCCTCGTGTGAGTATTTTTAAAATTATACACACACACACACACACACACACACACACGTTTAATGGTTATCATCACTTGTGTCCAAGTGGGTTGAACGGTCCCCATGCACATTAAATTCTGTAAATAAAAGCCACCTTTTGTTGAAATTTTGTTCCAATAAAACTTACCAAAGCCTGAAAAAATGTATTTAAATTTTTTTTTAAAGAAAAAGAACAGCCCTGGCCAGTGTGGCTCAGTGGATTGGGCATCATTCCACAAAGCAAAAGGCCACTATTTCAATTCCCGCTGAGGGCACATACCTGGGTTGTGGGTTTGGTCCCCAGTCAGGGCATGTATGAGAGGCAACTGATTGGCTTTTCTCTCTCACATCAATGTTTCTCTCCCTCTCTCCCTCCCTTCCTCTCTCTCTAAAATAAACAAATAAAATCTTTACAAAAATAAATAAAAATGAAAAAAAATACACTTTTGCTTTTTAAAAAAATCATTGAAATGTACAATTTAAATATGAAATGTAAATTATACCTCAATAAAGTCTCTTTTTCAGTTATTTTGGCTATTCTAGGTCCTTGACACTTACATGTGAATTGCAGAATAAGTTTGTCCATTTCCACAACAACAAAAAAGCTACTATGATTTTCATTGGGATTGGTTTTTTAATCATTTTTATTTTCAATTACAGTTGTCATACATTACTGTATTACTTTCAGGTGTATACCTCAGTGATTAGACATTATATAACTTAATAAGTGATCATCCTGATAAGTCTCACACCCATCTGACACCATATGTAATTATTAGACTATTATTGACTACCTTCCCTATGCTGTATTAGACTATATTATTGACTACCTTCCCTATGCCCATGACTTATTCTGTAACAACCAATTTTTATTTCATAATCCCTTCACCTTTTCTGCCCATCCTCCTAACCCCCTCCCATCTGGCAGCCATCAAAATATTCTCTATATCTATGATTCTGTTTCTGTACCACTTGTTCATTTATTTTGTTTTTTAGATTCAATTGTTGATAAATATGTATTTATTGCCACTTTGTTGTTCATATTTTTTATCTTCTTCATGAAGAAGACCCTCTAACACAAGGGTGTAGCCCAGAATGGCTACAAACGCAGCCCAATATAAAATCATAAACTTACTTAAAACATTATTAGATTTTTTGTGATTACATGTCACAATGTCATATAAAATAAATGTGCAATGATGTGTAAAATAAATGTATGTACAATGATATTTTATTAGATATGTACACTTTCTATATTAGTGATCACAAACTTGGGACCTGCTTGATGATTTTAAAAGATTATCAAGCCCTGGCTGGTGTGGCTCAGTGGATTGAGTGCCAGCCTTCGAACCAAAGGGTCACAGGTTCAAATCCTAGTCAGGGCACATGCCTGGGCCACAGATGGGGCCCCTGGTGGGGGGCACATGAGGGGTAACCACACATTGATGTTTCTCTTCCTCTCTCCCCCACTTCCTCTCTATCTAAAAATAAATTGAAATCTTTTTAAAAACGATTATTGAAAGGGCTGCTGCATAATGAGGTTATTATGTGAGGATTTCTTTGCTTATCTGTGGTGGCAGACATCATGAAAATTATGCACAGGCCTGTTTTTTTTTGCTCATCAGTTTTCATTAGTATTTGTGTATTTAACGTGTGGCCCAAGACAACTCTTCTTTTTCTAGT